CCCCCTCCTTCTTCCCCCCAAGTGTTTCCTCTCCACAGATGGATGACTGTCCAGAGACTGTGGGCAGAAACTGGAGCTCCTCAGCTGCCCCCAGGTTTACCTCAGCTTGTTTACATCCACAGTAATTCTTGTTTTTTACCGTAGGACGATCACTGAGGCGCCATGGTCATCAGACTGAAAATTGCCGAGACTGCAGCTGAAGGGCCTGACCCGTGTTTAGGGCAACTGAGAAGGCAGTTTCCTACACATCTGGGTAGATGTTTTGGCAGACGTTCGATTGTCTCATGATAGTTTACCTTCCAAACTGAAGCAATTCATGTGGAAAAACCAGTCTCATGACTGTGATGTTCTCCAGCAAATTGTGGTAAGGATGTTAATAACATTAATAGGTAACAACAGGTTTATTGTCAAGTCTGTTTGAATATTATATTTGTCATTGTTTTAATGACTGTACTTTAAGCCCTGAGTTATGGCATGTTTGAACTTGAAAAAGTAGCACAAAAGGTCAGTTTCGCATAGATTTTGATTTTTAGAGCTCCAGCAACAGTAGTTAAAACAATTACACAACTTCCCATTGATTTTGCATACGTTTGCTCGGAACACCATTTAAGTGACATTTGTGAATTTAGATCGTATCATGTAGCTGTGGTGTAGGGGCCATGTTTTCCAGCAGCAAGAGTAATACGTGTCACCACATGTTGGATTCAAACCCTCCGTTTACTGATGACTGCAGTGGGAAATTGTCATGTTCAGTCAGTTTGCTCTCCGGTTTATTACCATGACATGAGAAACTGGAAGGAGTGCCTTCGGGTTTGAAGATAAAGATTATATTTCTGTAGCTTTATTAGTGGTGTAACCCTAACCTGTCATTCTGATTTCCACATGTATCAAGTATCACAAACACATCGTGTGTTTTCTACGAAGCCTTGTAGACCAGGTATCAACATCTGTCTGGAGTGATCCGATCTTGTTCCTTGAACTCTATGTGCAGGACGTCTCTTAATTTGTCTAGTCTGAGTCTGATCACAAAAAACTTTTTTGCGAGATGGCTAGCTAGTTTAGGTTACAGCCATCAAAGAGAACTATATATAGATTTTTACATAAAAAAAGAAACTGTAATGTCCATTGAATGCGATGGTTGCAGAATGAATTCTGAGAAAATCACTAGAAGTTTCTTCTGGTCCTAACCTTAAGGGAGAAGTCGTGTTCAGTTACCATGTCACTTTCCTGTGTGTTTATCTGATTCTGTCATCAGTGTCTTCACCAGCAGCATTTTTTTCACTTTACTCAGTGCACCATCCTGTTAAGAAACAACAACTGTTAATGTGTCTGCACACATTAACTTCCAGACGTTATTTATTGCATCAAAGAGAATATATACACAAATACGTGTCTGCATGCACTTTTGTCAACGGAGAGCACCTGCTCACACACACACACACAAACACACACTCATCCATATTTAACAGGTGGTGCACAGGGAAAGTTCTGAGTATGTTTAAATATCCTCCAAACCTATAAACACTCCTGTCACTGGGCTTTGATGAGGTCAGTTCTGGCCCAGACTGGTGGAAAGAACTGGGTTATGTAATGAGATAGGCTCTGTTCTGCTTCAAATTATGCTAATTCATACATTCTTTCTGGTGTTTGCACATGTCTCCAGATACATTTCCCAAAATACACTCCATCTCTGCTCCTCAAATTAAAGAACGACTGGAGTCTATGGATGTTTACAGCTGTGGGCTACATTCTTCTGGATAATTAAAGAAACACAACGGTGTAAACTGATAATGTATGTGTCCCACGCAAACGTCCATGAGTTTGTAAACTTCTGAAAGCGTCTGACGGCCGGTGCTGCAAACATCTGATGCGGTCCGCAGCCAAAGGCCCGGACAAACCGACCATTCAGAGGCAGAGCAGCCAGGTCCGCAGCCAGGATCACTTTTCCTGATGCAAACCACAGTCTGTAAACGTGTGCGTCTGCCAAGTACATCAGTTACACTTGCTTTCCTGCGAACATGGCGATCCATTTGTATTATGTCATGATAATGGGAATGATTGCAGGCGGAGAAAAATAGGATGAAAGTCTTTGCATTAGGAACAGGAGATCCTGTTACAGCTGTCTGCGTTAGCTTTTAGCTTTATTAACCATTCCTCCAGATTATGATTAACGTGATCATACACGGTTAAAAATTAGTAACATGGTAACTGGTAACAACCAGTTTGATATAATAACACCGTGGGTTAATAATACCTCTGGGTTAGTCAGATGTTTCATACGTTGCGTCCAGCAGTGCCTCTGAACTCTATGTATTAAATGTTATATTTATGTTTTGAGTTAGAAATCACTACGTCAATGACTCACATCCACACATGCGACCCTGCTCCTGATCAAAGGCTTCTCAGCCCTGAGGAAACTGGCGCAGTGATGAAACCAAGAAGTGGATTAACATGAAAAGTGGAGTGTGGTCGGAGAAGACACACAAGTCACGCTCTAGTAACCATTCATGATCACATACACGTGGTGTATTCACAACACTTACTGTACTGGATCAATTCTACTGTAGCTGCTAATCATACCTGTTTTCATGATGTGTTGCTAGAAATTATGTTGAGATTGGATATATGAGAGAACAAGTATAAATGTGAAATTAAAGAATGTGAATTGAATTTGGATCTAAAATAATTCAGAACATTGATTACAGCTGTGTTTTATTTAAATTACAGACATAATAGACACAGTATCACAGCGTTCTCCTTTTTCTTCTTCCCTCCTTACAATGCACATCATTGGCTATGTCCGATATAAGCCATATCTGATATGCCGATATTGTCCAAACACTTTTTTTTAAAATTTTCGTAGGTAAAACCAATAACATTTTTTACAGATATATATCGAGTCGAAAATATCGTCAACCGATATTATCGGACATCTCTACACATCATCGTTGTTATACTCCATTTAAATACAAAAATTACCAGACACACTGACTATGTTGAAGATGTTATACTAGTAAGTCTAAGGCTAAGCTAAGATATCCGTTTAGTTCCCTTCTTTTTCCGATATCTGTAGCCTCCACTGTATCTATTGCTTGCATTACTGCCCCCTTCTGGACCTCTTTTTCACGACTGGTTGAAGTGAGTACCACTGGACCACATACTTCCATTGAAAATACCTCAGAGGATTTGGTTAAACTGTTGTTTGTTCTTGAGAAAATTCCAGAATGTTTTATTTTTATTTAACACCTATTAAATCCAAGTTCTCCCCGAATTGATTGCATCATTTTAGCCCCAAAAATCGCAGCCATTCTCCCGGCAGCAGCAGTTAAAGGCACAATAGAAGCCTGGTCCATTGATCCACAGATCCAGGCGCCGGTAGGAGTCTCGTATTTCCACGCCTCCCACTTTCACCCCCACTGTGGCGAGTCTCCGGCTCACACACACACACACTCACACACACTCACTCACTTTGCCAGACTTCTAGGAGTTGTAGCTCGCGTTCGAAGACGGGACCGCTTCAGCCTAAGACAGAAAGACAACAAAAACAAACAAAAACACAATCGTTTCGTCTAAAACCCCGCATGGATCTATTTTCTTCTACTCGGGAATTTGACGGAGCCGCGATGATCTGCGTGGCCCGGATTTCTGGAGAGTCGCGCCGGAGCGAAGGAGCTCACACGCTCTTCGCTGCAAAGTTGTAAAACTTTTCTCCATTGAAGTTTTTTTTTCTCCTCAATCTCTCTTTCTTCACGCCACCAGATCGGACTCCCGTGATTTTTCCCCCCACCAGGCTGCAGAAAAGCCCCCGTAGACACCATGGAGAAGAGGACTGCGGGGAATCGTGCAGTTTCCATACCGAGTACGCGCGCAGCTTTCCGGTGTAGGAGGGTTGACTTTCACCGGGGCTCGTTGGTTGTTTTTTTCCGGAGCGTCCTTTTAATGTGCTCGGCTTTTTCTTTGTGTGGATACTGCGGAGCCGATACGGAGTTTTCCATCCTGGAGGAAGCGCAAGTTTTGGCCGATCAGATGAAGAAGTTGTCCTCGCAAGAACTGGGAGTCTTCACCATGCAGGTAAACACCGGGGGCAGAGAAAACCCCCAATGTTTGTCTTCATCTGTGAAGTTCACGAGCCTGTGAAAATGCCAGAGTTCTGTGTGTATTTTTTTTTGGTCTTATGAAACAATGAGACCCTGGATCCTCAGCTCCATTGTTGGAGCCACTTTGAAGTCTCACTGGTTTAATGATGTGGGACATGAGGGACAAGCTGCGGGTTTTTGCTGCAGCTTCATTTCCATCTCCGTTTCTCTTGGAAATGATTGAAAATTGCTTTATTTTTATGCGCATTTTCTGCATTTAATGATCACATCTGAAAGATTAGCTGCCAACGTGATGAAGAATGAAATAAGAAAAGTCAATTTATTTACTATTTTTATATCAATCAATTTCGTCCACTGTCGGTTGAAAATGCAGCAGCCTTGGTCGGATTGAACGCCTTTTGACACGTGAGAGATGAGGTGAGAAAGGTGAGGTCGTCGTGGAAAGATCTAAGGTCACCGTATCATCTTTGACCAACAGTGGCCTTGATCTTATTTGAATTGACTGCTGCGTTAAAGGGCTCAAAGAGAAATCCTCCATTAGACACAGGCAGAGATTGTAAGTGACATGACACAGAGGGAGGTGATCATCCTGAGACACCGTCTCCCTGTAACATCAGGACTGTGTCCATGTTTGAACCCGTTAACACTGCTTCACATGATGATCTGCTGCAATGACCGGTGATGCGTTCAAAGGCCTATATTGACGCTCATTTGGTTATTCTGAGTGTTAACAAAGTAAAACAGAAAAATGCTCACCGTTCTGTGTAAAGGCTGTAGTTTCTTCGCTCATATTTGACATTGAATATTTTACCTCTGGATAATGTCGTTGTTTTGAAGCACATTTGTAACATTTTTTATTCTGAAACACATTAAAATTTCTTTGTCAACGGTCAAAATATATTTGATGTGTAAACACAAAAAAGGTCGATATTGTATTTTGAATTTTTTTGCTCAATTTTTAGACATAAATGATCTGCTTAGTTAATGCACAAAAAGATAATAATATTTAAACATTTTTTAGTAATAACACTTTGCTTACAATGTGTAATGTTTAAACACAGTTGTTTTGTTCTTGTCTATGAATCGAGCAGTGAGTGAGTTTATTTTCAAAAAGAATTTAAAAAATGTTTACATTAAATTGAAGATAAAATGACAAATGGAAAACTCCTCACAGTGGTTTGTCGACTAACTAGTTAATCAATTGCTAGTTATTCCACTAAACCCTGCAATTCTACCAAATTATCATTTGCCATCTATGAAACTGCACCAGATGGCAGTAGGTGCAAATGAGGTCTGTTGCTGCTGCTGCTGCTGCTGGTGGTGTGTGTGTGTGTTTGAGGTGGGGGGTGGAGGCGGTGGTGTTTAGCACTTCACAGCTAAAAGGAGCTCACAGGACTTGAACACAGCGGTCAGGCAGCAGGAGGGCCAAGGCCCCAAATGGTGTTTCATCTTCTCTGCTTCCACGCGGAGCTCCCTCCTTTATCGCAGCCCTGGGTGTCGGCCGTAAGAGCCTTCCTCTGATCCCTCTGACTCGGCCTTTGTCACCCCTCATCTCGGCTTAAGCTTCATTGTTTCCTCTGTGGCTAGCTTAGGAAAAATAAATCAAATTGGTAGCTGCTCAAATTTGATGTATTTATCTTTTTTTTTAATCTCCACCCCGGAGCTGATTATTCACATCGACGGGGTCAGCTTTATTTTCCCGTGGCCCGAGGAGAACACGATGTGAATCCAGTTTTTCAGACAAACATGACGTTCCCTGTACTGAAAAATTCAAACCCGCCTTGGACTAAATGGGAGTCAAATTGAGGTGGTGCATCGGTGCATTTCCTGACGGATGGTAGAGATGTGCGTCCAGTAAAAACAGCCTGTTTCTGCCTGTGAAAACATCTGCAGCAGCGTGTCGGCCATGCCAGCCTCCGCCAGCTCTGCTCCTCAGATGTGGCCTGGCTTTTTCAGGTCGGAGCTGGATTTCATTTTATCTGTTTTCACCAGGTTTTGGTTTTCTTTTTTTTATTTTACCTTTCACTACCTGCCAAGGTATTTTTCTTCAGTGTTATATATTTGGTCAGTGAGCTGGTTAAGCCAGAGCTTCGCTATTTCGGAACACATCTGAAGGCTTCTGTATCAAGCCAGTGTCCATTTAAAGGGTAATTCTAACCTGCTCCACTCCACCCTCCATTCTTTGGCAGATGTGTAATTTGAGGCCCGTCCTGTCGGTGCTTCAGAGTCAGTGGGTCAACCTTGTTCAGTCTGTCATTGAGTTAGTCAATTATCCAGGGATGTGTGGGGGTGTACTGTTGACACGTTGTGTGGGCTTTTTTTTTCTGTTTCTAAGTGATTTTTTTTTTTTTTTTTCTTTTGGTATTGAAAATTGAAAGCACTTGATTCACTTCTATTTGCTGTTTGATTAGTTTGGTTAGTCAAACTGCTGGAAATAAGAGTTGTTTTCTCAACCCCATATTTTCAGTTTAATGTTTCAGGTTTAAATAATTAACAGTTTTCCGATAGTATAGTATCATCTCCTTGAAGTCAGTCTAGCACTGCTGTGTATTTTACGCAAGTAGAAATGTATAATTGGAAGAGTTGTTAGTGCTCTTGCCTTAGGCGAGAAGGTCGTTGGTTTGATCCCCGGCAGTACCTGATGTTCTTTCTTTTCCTGTATTCTCCTTGTGTGTGTGCGCATTGGTTTTCTCCTTAGTCCTTAACTCTGGTTTCCCAATGATGCTAATATTTAAACTAAATACACAGTTGCATTGGTTTTCTCCTTAGGAACTCTGGTTTCCCAATAATGCTAATATTTAAACTAAATACACAGTTGGTGTGACTGTTGGTTTCTCTCTACATGCAGACCAGTGATGGCTCCAGTTTCAAGGTCGACCCTTATGAGGATTAGGAAAAAGAATCAATTTTTATAATGTTGTAATATTAATGTCTTGAGATATATATTTTCTTCATCTGAGTAACTTTTCATGCAGAGGGTTTTAGGTTTAATTCCAACTCCTAGCGATGGAGTGCAGCTCATATGGGGTTCAGACCATATTGGATACACCACAGTTCCCCTGTAAACCTAGGGGAAAAAATGTTTGTAGAACTAATGAGCCCAGTCAGGTCTGACTTTTTATTATTTATTCCTGGGTCATGTGTAATGTGTGGGTAATAGTAAGATCCTACAACACAAATGTGTTCATAGTTGGTGAAGCCAAATGTAAATCATTCATTGCTCGTACCGAAAAACCCTGGAGTGGTTTTAAATCCAGAAGGTTTAAATCCACGTCGACTGGTTATTTATGAAGGAAATGTCATTGTTAGCTTAGAAACCTAATCCTCAGAAAAGTGTGGTTTGTTATTGAGGTCGTGCCTCCGTGTATCTCTGGCCCCTAATCGAATATTGATAGTCATTTAAGTCCAGTGGTGGTTTTTGAAGGAAAAGAGAAAATTAGGGCAACTCTGGTTTTCTAATTAGAATGTGATTTTCTGGTTTTGGGTTGGATCCAAGGGCAGCAGAGCCCAGATTCCTGGATTGTTTTTTCCTTTCATTCCAAATTAGGTTACTTTTACAACATATAATTGTCCTTCTACCGCCCACCTACATTTCTTTTTCATTTTAATCATATTATTTCCCGTTCTCCAGTTTTTCTTTTGTCTCCTTTTGAGGTAGCTTACACTGGTTTCCCTTCCCGTCCTTTTCTTTCTCCTCATTTCTGCACATTTTACCAAATTCGCTGCAGACACAGGCAAACAGGGTGGAGGAGGGTTTTTGAAGATATACAGCGGGATGTCAGAATTCCTGCTACGTTCTCTGCAGAACAGCTTCAAAGCCTCCGCTGCCTTTCAATGCTCAAACAGTCAAGGTTACTCTCAGCCTGCCAGGCTCTTTTTCCACGTGTCTCTCCTTCTATCTTTCCTGCTCTCTTTTCTCTCTGGAATCTCATTTTGTATTTTCAACCTTTCCAAATTTCTAGTCTAGTTGTTGGTGATTAATTTTCAGCCACATTTCACGTAGCTTATAAAGAGAACTGCACGTATCATCTAAATATTAACAAATGTCTTTATTTTTATTAAAATCCTTGTTATTATAACCTTGTTATAACTGCTACAATATTATTTTTATATCTCAAATGCTACTTTATGACCTTCGTCTAAAGAACATTAGATGAACATCTCTTGGTGTTAAATCTTTGCAGGCCACAGTACTAAACAGTACTCTTGTGTATTAATCCATACGAATTCCATGTATGTTCTTCTAAGGCCTTACATTAGTACCAATTTGTAATTGCGTAAGTTTCATGTGAGGAACAAAACGGTTTTGTGCCTCCTTTTGGTATTATTTTAATATTTACTTTAAATGAAAAAAAATCCTAACAAAGAAAAAATGCTACCGACTAAAATATCTGCAGATTTAAGTTCAAGGTTTAGTTTTATTGGAACTATGAAATAAAGGATTTTAAATCTAATATGAAAAACCAAGGCTCCCCGCCAACAGCTGCAGAGTCCCAGAGAGAGATCTGCAGAGTTTTAAACTTGGCCTGAACTCCACACCAGCCTTCAAAATTCTTGGCCTGTCTCAAAAAGCCCAGGGAAACAGCCCAGTTCTGCAGAATCTTTATCTCCCATCACAATGAGGGAGTGAACGGAGCAAGAGGGGCAATGTTTTTATTAAATACAGAGACGCTTGTGTGGTTTGGCCCGAGTCCAGGCACCGAGAGGTTCAGGCGCCCCTTCGGTCCAGCCGCCCTGCACCACGGCGTCTCCAAACTGCAGCGAACAGCAGACACGGTGAACTCCCCCAGATTATACGTCTGGATGGATTATCAATTAAATGCTGCCGTGAGGCAATGGCCCTGCTGTCCTGGGAGTGATGAAAAACAATCTGGTTTATTTGTGCACCTGTGCTTTAACGTCTGTATGGTTGGGGCAGAGGTGGTGGTTGCACCACCTGTGAAAAGTTCTGTGTCTAGACATCAGTTTGATGTC